CATCCAGCCTTACAGATGGACAAATACTTCAACATGACTGTGTCATGGTTATAACCACCCAGTGCTCTGTAGGACATAAACCACTGAGGCCACACAACGGACCCAAGACCCACACAATGGTATTGCACACCTAAGACCAAATGGTGTTTTGTAGTTCTCATTTAAAATTTGTGTGTGAAAACTTATTTGGTGGAAAAATCTGATGTGAAGAAATATGAAGCTATTTAGAGCACTGATGTTCCCGTTTAGTGTGACTATGCATCTGCTTGCAATAGAAATATTAATGCATTGAAAGGGTGCAGTTCCAGACCCTACTGGGTGTCTTCAGAAATATACATTACATATGTTCTATGTTCCGAATGCCAAAACATCTGGCCTCCAGGGTTTCAGATAAGGAAGTGTAGACCTGTAACATACGGTAATGTGTACATGGTACATATTAGGAAAAACATCTTTGCTTCTATTCATTCACTAAAATGCTCTAAACAGAGCTGAAATGAACCAGCTGTGAGTTTCACTGAAAAGGGCACACACAATCAATTTGCATCATTTAAGCTTATTGAAGACTTCAACTCATAAAGCACAAGTCTGAATCAACAACTCCTGCGATCTATTTTTGTGATAAATAAGATTTTAATTCCCTTGGACAACAAGCATGCAATGAACCTCTACTATAATGGAGCTCCCGGAGGTTTTACCTGGAAATTTCTCTTTGCGTTAACTCCAACTTCAGTGGAAACACGGGATGATTTGATTCCTATTAGTGTCATATAAATCTTTATTTACATTACCAACCACAGAACAGGGAAATAAATGTGGAAAAGGGGAAAAAAATTAGCATAGGATAGAAGCCACCATAGACAACTGTGGGTGGACATACAACAGAAAGCTAAGTAGTCATGGAAGAAGTGGAACAGGATATCACTGTTTTCGTCATTGGAATATTCTGAGCTTTTTGACTTTAAGGACACTTAATCACATCATAAAGTAACATATTCATAGGTTCCAGGGATTAGAGTTGACATTGGGGGGTGGAGGGCATTTTCCTGCCTACCAAAACCCTCACTGACCTCTCTTTATTCCTTAAACTTCCCAAATACTTCTACCTCAGGGCCTGTGCATATCCCTGTTCTACCAACAGACTCCAATTCATCTCTCCCATCTTCCTACATGTCACTCTCTCCACAGAGACCTTCCATCTTTTGGCAAAAGTCTGTTCTGCTTCGGAGACTCTATCACAACTGAAATCACACAGCTATTTATGTGATCACTTGCGAAAATTTCTGTGTCAGCACTAGACTGTAAATACCTTGACGGCAGAGACTGGGAATTTCTGGTTTTACCTTTGAGTCCCAGCACCTGTAACAACAGAAGACACCCAAGAAAAACTTGCTGCTAGGCGAGGAACAAAACCGAATTGCAGGAGGCAAGGGCATCTGAGGATCCACGCTGGGCCTGGTCTCTGACGCTAGGCGTTGCAATCTGACGCCAACTTTCTTTTCCAACTTTAACTGAGCTGTAAAGAATGCCAGCTATCGAAGAGCTTTTGTTTTGTTTTGACAAGAACTTTGCTCTTGTTAACTGTTAGAATGGATGTTTTTAAGTATAGGAAGTACAACATCGAGTCCAGAATTTGAGTCAGGAAAATGCGGAGAGGTCTAATTTCTGGACGCCTACAACATTGTCTTAGATGACCTTAAAGAATTCCTGGGAAGCAACAAAACCTACGAAGTTGGGTTTGTTGCCATTCACCCTCAGGGAGCAGATGCAGCTTCTTGTGAGGCATATGCTTAACATTCAGCCTGCAGAGCTGGAGCACAGAGGGAAGCTGCTAGAATTCCCAAGGTCACGCCTGCATCTGGAGTAGAACTGAAGGAACAGGGACCCACAATGCTGTCACGCAAAAGGCAGGTACATGTCCTTTCTGGAAACTACAAGAGGATGGAATGACTTCTCAAGAAACAAACCCTCATTATTCAAATGTATTAAAAATGACGCCACATAGGTACAGGAATGTTCCATTCCACTAAGCACACTGCTTTCTCTATCCCACAGTCTCACCTTGGTGACATTAGTGACTCTGGGGGGCTGGATAATTCCTTGTAGCGGGAGCTCTTCTATGCACTGGGATGTTTAGCAGCATCTCTGGCTTCTCCCCACTGGAAACTAGTAGCATATCATTGCCAGCAATGGCGACAACCAAAATGTTTCCAGATTCTGTCTAATGTCCCCTGGGGAGGGGGGGGGCACTGTCCCCAGGTTGAGAACCACTGCTTGTATTCTACCAATCCTTGTACAATCTTCAACAATGATTCTTCTGTAGCCTTTATACATGATGCATACAAAACAAATAAATAATATCCGCAAGGCTGATAAATTATTCCATGAGAAATCAAGTGTTCTTACTTTCATTCTAGTTTCTTGTAAAACAATGTAGTTACAAGAAAAGAAATAAACCAAGCCTGAGATGTTTAAACAGGGTAAAAAAAATCTCAGGGAGAGCTGGTGTTAATGAAGAACTCAAGTACAGCAATTTAGCATAAAATATTACAGACGTGTTTTGGGCAAAAGTAAGCAACTTTCCTGTGCCCATTTTAAAAGTAAATTTATTCCAGTTACCTTTAAGCTCTGAAATCCAAGTTCCTCCAAATATACGAGTAAGTAATTTACCACATTTATCACACTGTAAAAGAGCAAGCTATGAACCAGATTGGCTTCGTTGAGGGACCCAGTTAACATAGGCAGGCCTACCATATGACATTACTTAAAAGAAAAAAAATCCAAACACTTGATCAAACAATAAGTCTATGCACTGCAGCTGCCATTTCTGATTAGATTCAGAATTCACTAGCTCTCTGTGAGTAATGGAAAACTAAAAATATTCATTTTAAGTCATAAGGATTCGAAAGAACATACACCTCTTCTGTGCATTTTTCGAAAATCAAGCATCAAGAGGGAAGAGGTCATCTTGGCATTAGGGACTGTGACTAAGAATGGAAGAGTTCCCAGGTCCCAGCTCAAGGACTTCTTTTCCAAGGTAGCTATCACATTAAGTTCTTAAAGCTTTCAGGACAGGTCTTTTGTCCACAACAACATTAACTGAACAAATGGCAACCCAATTCTAAGACAAAGAGGCTTCAGAGAAGGGCTGGCTGAGCACAAACTACCCCCTCAACGCACCCTGCCAATGGGAAACTGTCAGCATGACCAGAAGGAAAACCCCACACTTACAAGCATGATGTAATTTTACTTCTAGGAATCAAGTTTTCCAAGTACAAATAACGCTAACACTTCTAAGAAATGATTCATTCTACTTAAGGGGTGGAGGAGAGCCCATTAAGAAGAAACCCTACTTACTCACGAGACATATAATTAGTATGACTGAGACAGGAAGTCCCACAGAGAGAGGAGTCCTAATGGAGGGAGGGTGTGGGTACTGAGAATCTGTCAGTTAAACTAGAAAAAATTTGGAGCATTTTCTCAGAGCTTCTGAAAAATCCATAGTTTCTCCAGAAATAGTGGATTAGAAATAAATCTAATACCCATATAATCACGTATAAGCAAAAAAATACTTTTGATTTTTCTCATCTTGTTGGGGTTTCTTCATCTAAACTTCAAGGATACACAGAGGGTTCATAAATGAGCTTCAGGAACCAGGGAGAACGCTGAAACCCCACCAATTATATGCAAATCTATGTGTAGACGCAGAACAGGTATGCTTCTTTGTAAAGGGGATATCAATAATATATCAGATTATAGCACTCTGGGAGGTCCAGGCGGGTAGACTGCTCAAGGTAAGGAGTTAGAGACCAGCCTGAGCAAGAACAAGACCCCATCTCTACTAAAAAATAGAAAGAAATTAATGGGCCAACTAAAAATACACAGAAAAAAATTAGCTGGACATGGTGACACATGCCTGTAGTCCCAGCTACTCGGGAGGCTGAGGCAGGAGGATTGCTTAAGCCCAGGAGTCTGAGGTTGCTGTGAGCTAGACTGATGCCACGGCACTCCAGCCTGGGCAACAGAGTGAGACTCTGTTTCAAAAAAAAAAGAAAAAAGAAAAAAAGAATATATCAGATTATCAAAGCAGGATGTGACTTAGTATAAGTTATTAAACACTATGAGTTGAAAACCCTCCTCCTAGCTCAGCCACTTGGCTCCTTTGATTAAAACATGCTACCATTTCAAAGTCACTCCATAGTTGAGTACAGCCACAGGCTGGAACCACACCCATTTTGTTCTTCCGCAAACTTGTAAGGCTTACTACACGCAGAACCAACCAACCAACATGTTTATCATGATGAAAGAATATTCACACACTGATCATGATTAAAGGAAAAACTTCAGTTAGTAACAGATGGGATGTGCGGTCTCTATCCAACATTAATAAAAGAGTTGAGGGGTCCTCCCACCCTCATCCCCACTCAAGGCAGATACACATCAGCACCCGACCCAGTGTACCCTCACCCTTCTGTCCGGCAGAAGCAAAATGTCACCATTGATTCCAGCAAAATTAATCTTAGTGACTCATACTGCCAATGGTCACAGCCTCTTTCTCAACAGCTGGCAGTAGCAAAAAGAAAAACAAAATAAAACAAATCTTAAAACAACTTTGCTACTGAGAAAAGGTTCTGACACTCCTCTTCATATATCACCGAACTTTATTTCCTAAAGGATGAAAATGAAGTCAAATCAAGTTTCATATCAAACGTCACCTTCAGAAAGCAGGGTTCCAGAAACAGTGCAAAGAAACTGTGTCAGATGAAACAAAAGATGAGCAGGGGTGAGTCTAGTCAAACTGTAATGCCTGTGACTCTTGAATGTTTCTCTGGTTGAACAAAGATGAGAAACTTGAGGTTGGATATGCACCTGCCATGCTATACAGGATTTCCAGAGAGACAAAATGTTAGGTACTATGTAAGTTTGATTTGCAAAATGAGGATAAGGACATAGCATCTAATTAACATCAGGACTCAAAGCACAGCTACAGTTCCTCTCACCTCAACAGGAAACCTCCTTCCGTTGATGCTGTGTTCAGAGCCTGCTGAGCCATTGCTGTGGCCCCAGTGAAATTCCACCTTCTCGGCTTTGAATCTGCCGGGCAGGCCCGCGCCACTGACAAAATAGTCGTCTTTCAGAAGGATGGCAACTGCAAAATGGAAGGGAAGGGAAGAAAACAAAGTAAGTTTCAAAGCCAAACAACTGATTTCTTCTGCTGCTTCTAATACCGTTCATGATTACCACGATGTGAATGAATTATTTCTCATGTACCTGTTAAAAAAACAAGTAAACAACACAGGTCTGAATACCTTAGTATGTTCTCTCTGCAGAATGCTCTCACATCACCCCTTGGTTCTAAATCACGACGCTTCCCAGGGAATTATCTCAGAATTACTTATCCATTTAACAGAATTTTTTTTTTAAATGGAGACAGTGACAGGATAAGTTCCTTAGCATCAGTGTCTGCTATATCTGCTTGATGATCTAGATTATCTGGAGAGCAAGATGTTTCTTTTCAAGCACTGTTTCTTAGAGCTACCCTAAGGATTCAAGGTCTGGAATGAGATTATATATTTCTAGTCATCATGTATATTTCCATGATAAGACATAAGCAAGAGACATGTTTCTCTGATCAGAAAACCTAGGCACGATATGGGGAAATAAAAAATTTGCGGGTTCTTCCTAAACAAGTAATAGCGGGAAGATAACTGGGAGTCTTTGTATTCAATAAAAGTGCCCAGCAGAGTGCAGTACAAAATCTACTCATGGAGTCACTCAATTATTATTGGTTACTGGCAGATAACCAGGTATCCCTTCCTGCTTCTTTTAATTCCATGCAAAAGAAAATTTCCCTTAGCCCATTAGAAAGAACAAATGAGAGCATCCCCAACATAAGAAACCTCGACCCATTCAAACCCTGAACTTCAAAACACACCTTCCTTCCTTGAAACACAAGAAAGATAAATTGAAAATAATTTGGATTTATACTAACAGAAAAACATTTCTCCAAAAGGAATGTAATAGCTACATGCATAAAAAGGCAGATTTTATTCAACTGATACATTCCCTTTTTTTCCACCTAAAGTGGATTCATTCATTCATTCAATAAATATTGGCTGCTAAATAGATGTAAGATGCCAACTAATAGACTAAATGGTTTGTGATCGAAAGCCAAGCTTGGGTAAGCCATGGGAAAGCTCTCATATCCTAATTGTTGCCTCTTCCTAAAGAGATCCCATTTAGAGCTTTAGAGAGAAATCCTGCATGAAAATCAGGTCTCCATAAAAGATAGGCACTAGACTAATGACCCATTTCTAGAACAGTGCAATTAGTTTCAGTACTTCTGTATATAAAGGAAGCATTAAAAGCAAGTGGAGGAACCCTTTTCATATAAATCCCTTTTTATTGCATTCAAAAGACACTTTTTCTCCAACTTCTGAAAAAATATATATTGAATGTTCAATTAGTGGGACAACAAATTAAAAGACAAAATGAGGTAAAAGCAAGTGTTTCTTGCGCCAATTAAACATGCTATGGCATTGTTTCACCTTTACTCTGTGCTGGGCACGTTTTATTTTTATTATTAGTTTTTGAGACAGAGTCTCACTGTTGCCTGCGCTGGAGTGCCGTGGCATCAGCCTAGCTCACAGCAACCTCAAACTCCTGGGGTCAAGCAACCCTCCTGCCTCAGCCTCCCGAGTAGCTGGGACTACAGGCATGTGCCACCATGCCTGGCTCATTTTTTCTATATATTTTTAGTTGGCCAATTAATTTCTTTCTATTTTTAGTAGAGACAGGGTCTTGCTCCTGCTCAGGCTGGTTTCGAACTCCTGACCTGTAGTGATCCTCCTGCCTCAGCCTCCCACAGTGCTAGGATTACAGGCATGAGCCACCGAGCCCGGCCGGGGCACATTTTAGAACAGGAGTTGAAGGACCAGTTGTTAAGTATTTTAGACTTTGCAGGCCACGTAGTCTCTTGTGCAAATACTTTCAATCTTGTCTTTGTATCACAGAAACAGCCAAAGATAAAATGCAAATGAATGGGCGACGCTATGTTCTGATAAAACTTTATTTAACCACACTAAACTTTAAAATAATTTTCATATGTCATAAAATATGATTCTCCTTTCGATTTTTAAAAACTATCTATAAATGTAAAAACAGGCAGGGGGGGCCTATCATTTTGTGACCCACTAAAATATCCTAGTAAATATTATCTAAAATATTATAAAATTTATATATATACAGATATTTTAAAATATCTTCCAAAATGTTATATTTTATCAACCATGTACCTTCAGTTGCAACGTCAAAACAGCCAGGCATTCGTTGAGTGGAGTCTTAAGTACTGTTGATTATTCTCAGCTGGTTATAATTTCTATACATAACATTTTACATCCAAAGCATGAAGGCAAAGCATTTTGTGTGTATCTGTTACAACACACCCAGGGACTCAGCAGAATCTTATAAATATTTGATTTTCCCTAAATCATTTATATCTCTGTCAGGGGTCATTTTACTTGTTTTACATGAATAATTAAAAGCATAATTAGGGAACTGTACAATCACAAACGTTAATCTCATTTTTCATTTTACAGTATTTCTTACCAGAGTACACAGCATGCTACATGTACATACATCCCTTCCCAAAATTGTTTTTGTTTGTTTACATATAAAACTAGGAAGAGAGAATGTTCCCAGCTGTCACGTGACAGTTTTCTGATGACCACTGATCACATTGTACCATTCTGAAACAGAATGTGTCACAGGTTGTTGTCCCATGTCGCATGGAAGCCCATTCTGCCACTTAACAGCGGAGTGACCTCAGGCAGGTTACCTGCCTTCTGTGCCTCTGTCTCCACCACTGTTCAAATGGTGATAGCAACAGAGGCTACCTGGCGAGGCCGTTTTGACACCTGAAGGAAATCACACTGGGAAAGCACTTACCCACTGCCAGGAACCCAGCAAACACGTGCTCAATGGCGGTTATTGTCTAATTCATTTCTTGAATCAGAGTGGAGCTCGTGGGCAGCACACAACGGTGGCCACGCAGTCTCCATTTCCAGAGAAAGCTCTATTTTAAAGTAATATTGTCTTTTGCATGAAAAAATAATATTAGGTCATTAAATATGAAATGTCTGATTTTGAATCAAAGATGTAGTTTATTATTTAAAAACAGGATGCACTGCAATGAATCAAAGTATGCATCTAAACTATCAACATGGTTTTGCCATTATTATTATTATTTTTTGAGACAGTCTCACTCTGTTGCCCAGGCTAGAGTGCCGTGTTGTCAGCCTAGCTCATAGCAACTTCCGACTCCTGGGCTCAAGCAATCCTCTTGCCTCAGCCTCCCAAGTAGCTGGGACTACAGGCATGCGCCACCATCCCTGGCTAATTTTTTCTATATATTTTTAGTTGGCCAATTAATTTTTCAATTTTTAGTAGAGACAGGGTCTCGCTCTTGCTCAGGCTGGTTTCGAACTCCTGACCTTGAGCGATCCTCCAGCCTTGGCCTCCCAGAGTGCTAGGATGACAGGCGTGAGGCAACAAGCCTGGCCCAGTTTTGCCATCTTAATGGTAGCTTGCTTATGCCAGCAGCAAAGGCGGCTGGAGAGTGAGTGGAGATGAAATTGGGAAAGGTGTTTACTACAGCTTGTGGAGAATTGAGTATTTTTCTGTGCAAGAAGGGGTAGTCAGTTGGTGCTAGGTCTGGTGAATATGGTGGATGACAGAGTGTCATTAGTCAGGGACAACAGAAGGGACAGGTATGTCCCAAGTACTAATTGGGAGAACTAAGTGCTGAGTAGGTGCCTTCAGTTCACTGCAACAAAGAGTAAAAATGACATTTCCTTTTCTTAATGATTTCTACCTTTTTGATCACTTTAAGGAAAAGAAAATCTCACTTTGGTCCTAATATAACCTGCATATTTCCCTGGTACTCATTTGTTTCCTCCCTTTACCCAAGAGTATTAAGCTAAAGTTTAATAACATGAGTAACTTTGACTTATTTTCATAAATTATGGACCTATTGCTAACAGTAAGACCATCTGTGTCAAACAGCACTGGTTGCCCCATTTGTGGTATGGATAAAGTTGATAAAAAGGCCAGGCAGGTGTGGTGGCTCATGCCTGTAATCCTAGCACTTTGGAAGGCTGAGGGAGGAAGGAATGCTTGAGGCCAAGAGTTTGAGATCAGCATAAGCAAGAGCGAGACCCCATGTCTACAAAAAATATAGAAATTAGCCAATCATGGTGGTGCATGTGCCTGGAGTCCCAGCTACTCAGAGGCTGAAGCAGAAGGATCGCTTAAGCCCAGGAGTTTGAGGCTGCAGTGAGCTACAATGACACCACCGTACTCTAGCCAGGGCAACAGAGCAAGACCCTGTCTCCAAAACAAACAAAGTTGATAAAAAACAGTAAGTATATAATATTACAAGAATAATAAATACAGATGAGTTTTAACCTCTATAGAGGTTATTCTTTTTGGGAGAGGATCCACAGCTTACACCACCTTCTGCCTGTGTCTGACCCCCCATCCCCAACGTAAAGAACTCCCGGCTACACACAGGGATGGGGCAGGGAGGGAGATGGGTCACACGGTCACATCTTGAATAAGGGATCAATTTTCTCCTGAGCTTAAAAGGATGTACCTGGCATTCTTGGTGGGATATCCACCAACTGTTTATAAATTAAATTCAACATGGGTATGTAACGCAGGCTAAAGCAAATGTTCACAGCAAAATCCGAGTAAACAGCAGCAGGTGCTAAAATTTAAAGAAAAATGGATGGGAGGAAAACCAGCTGCTTACTATCTTACCCCCTTGCTCTCCATTTTCAACACTGTAAAGTGAATCAAGCATACCATTATTGGATCTTCCTGGTGGGACCCCCCCAGACCACCTCCCACCATGCCTATGTCCACCAGAGGATGCCTTGGGGTTCTTGGTGAAAGGGAAACACTTGTCTGAAAGTCACAGCATGCAGGCACTCCACCAGTTAGTCTTCCACTGACTTCCCTACTGCTATTGGCATTTCTTTTTTCAAATAGTCAACAAACATTTACTGAGTAATTACCAGGGAAGAAAAGGTAGGTAAAACAGGCCCAGCTCCTGCCATCACGGAACCTAATGGCTGGTGGGAAAGACAG